CTGAGCAGCGGCAGGAGAGGAGTGCACAGCTTCGGGGATCCCAGGTGAGGCCACGGAGGGCTTGCGTGGGGTCGAGAAGCTAGGGGAAGCTTTCTCCTTCGCGGGTTCGGGCTGTGCTCTTTGGCGCTCCAGTGGCCCTCGAGCAACTTTGCCTCAAAAGTTCCAGAGTCCGGGCGGGAGGTGGCGGCCCAACTTTTCACCCGTGACTTTCCTGCTGGGTGCTCCGAGCCTTGGGGAAAGTGGCGGGGAAGGGGCTCGGGTTCCAGCTGGGGCCGTTCTGCAGGGCTTGCTGGGCGCGGAGGGGCCCTTAACCCTGCTGGCGCCCGGGGGTCTACCGCGGCCTTCCCTGGAGGGGCGGGCGGGGTCCCGGCCAGACGGCCGCCCCCTCCCCTTGGGTGCGGAGGCGAGGAGGATGGGAGACGTGGATATGACCGCGGGTTTCCGGGTGGGAGGGGAGGGACGGGGGCCTGGCTGGGAAGGCCTCGGGGGCTGGCGGGAAGACCGGAAACCGAAGGTCCCCTTGGCCTCTTCTAACATACCCCTCCCTCTGTCCAGACCCGGCAGCCATGGCGGTGGAAGGAGGGATGAAATGTGTCAAATTCTTGCTCTACGTCTTTCTGCTGGCCTTTTGCGTGAGTGGAGAGGAGGGAGCGGAGAGGGGCTCTGGGGCGCTTAGGCAGGGTTCGGGGAGACTTGGCTCCCGGCTGGTGAGGGCTGAGGGGCCAAGAATTAAACAGCTGGAGACCAGATGTGGACAGAAAGCTCTGGGCACTGGCCAAAGAGAGCGTTGTCACCCCTTTTCTCCTGCTTCTGGGGAACCCCTTAGGTTTATTTGGACTGAAGAATGGGCAGCCTGGGTGTATAGCACCCTCCCCCTAATCTCTTCTAGCCTTTCCTGTCTGGTGACCCAACCCCTTGTGATACTGGGCAGTGGGGCAACCAGCCAACGGTGGACTGATGCTATCTCGGCCCATCCCTTTGCTCCCCCCCACCCCCAATCCATTCTTCTCTATCCACTCAACTCTCTTTGCCCGCCCCCTTGGCAGCTTGATGCAGCGGGGCCTCAGCCCACCCGTTTGCCCCCGACTTGAGAAGCTTTTGTTTGTTTAAGGAGGGGCACATCACTTTTGCCCTTTCCTCCTCCTCTTAGCCACAGCTGAGGGGGAGTCCACTGGGTACTAGAAGATAGGGGGGCCTGTCCTGAAAGAGAGAACCAAGTTAGGAGCCCCGAAGACCGGTAAGGATCACCTACTTGTAATCAAGAATGTGGGCCCTGAGGCTTTCCTCTTTGCAACCTGTCTTTGAAGAGCCACTTGAAGGAAGGTGTGGCTTCTGAACGCCCTGCTTCTCCCTGTGTTAAAAGGCAACCTTCACTGTTGGCCACCCCTCCCCTGCCATAAAAAAAAAATCGTTAGGATGTGTGAGATCAAGTCTGTGACATAAAGGTACCCTCCACCTTCCCCCTTGGAGGGCTGCTGAGACTGACCTAACCCTGACTTAATTTCCCCTCAGGCCTGTGCAGTGGGACTGATCGCCGTGGGTGTAGGAGCACAGGTCCTCTTGAGTCAGATTAACCAAGGGCCCACTCCTGGCTCCTTGTTGCCTGTGGTCATCATTGCAGTGGGTGCCTTCCTCTTCCTGGTGGCCCTTGTGGGTTGCTGTGGGACCTGCAAGGAGAACTACTGTCTTATGATCACGGTAAGAGGGGTGTGGGTGCCTGAGACCTTTTGAAGAGTATTTCTTTGGAGTAAGCTGAAGGCATTTCTCACCCATGGATTCAAAACCTGACTTCTGTCCCTTGTGCTTGCAGTTTGTCATTTTCCTGTCTCTTATTATGCTGGTGGAGGTGGCCACAGCCATTGCTGGCTACGTATTTAGAGATAAGGTAAGCAAGGATAAGGGATGGATCTGCCTCAGAGGCTTGGCTGTTTCAGGATCCAGGTGCCTTGAATTCTGATTTTACCATTCACCTACACCCTTCAGGTGGTGTCAGAGTTTAAGAAGAATTTCCAGCAACAGATGCAGACTTACCCAAAAGACAACCAGACAGCCGTGTTTTTGGACAAGCTGCAGCAAGAGGTGAGTGACGTGTTGGTGGCAGGGATAATGGGTGGGGTGCGTGGAGGCTCACTTAAACTGCTTCTCCTGTACCTCCCTTTCCTGCTCCAGTTTAAATGTTGTGGCGCTGCTAACTACACAGACTGGGAGACCATTCCTCTGGTGCCCAAGGGTCGGATTCCTGACTCCTGCTGTGTCAATGTCTCTGCGGGCTGTGGGATCAAGTTCAATCCAAAGGATATCTATACCAAGGTAGGGAAAAGATTTAAATAGTGGGACTTAGGGAGTGGTAACACAGTGGGGAGGGGATCTGGAATGCTCAGAGTGTGGGAAAAGGGACAGAGGGTGGAGAAGATGGATCAGAGAAAGGTAGATGTCATGTGGTACTTCTGCCTCATGTGACTGGCACTTTTTCAGGGCTGCATTGAGATGATTGGGGGCTGGCTGAGGAGCAATGCGCTGGTAGTGGCTGCAGCACCCCTGGGCATTGCTTTTGTGGAGGTGAGTGGGGACCTGGGCAGCAGCTGGGACTTCATCCAGGGAACTGGGGAGGAGGGTGCCGAGCAGGTGGTATTGATCTGGGGAGGAGAATGCTAGGTATTTGAGGTTCCTCGGGGTATCTTGCCTTTCTGATTCCTCTTCTCTCCTCCCTCTCCATCTTTCCCTCTAGGTTCTGGGAATTGTCTTTGCTTGTTGCCTCGTGAAGAGTATCCGAAGTGGTTATGAGGTGATGTAGGAGGTCTGGACTCCTCAGCCCTCTCATCTAGGGGAGTGGGGTAATAATACACTCCAGGTTTTTCAATTAAACGGATTATTTTTTCAGACCGAAAAGGTAGTCATAAAGAGTGATACTTAATCCTTTCTATTCCCTCATCCATGTTTCCTGACCTCTGGAACTGTGTTCTCTTTGTATCTCTGGGGAAAAGCATGCCTGTCTAAGGGGGTGTTTGGGAAAGGAGGATTTGGCCCTGCCCCTCTGTCCACCTAGTCTTGTACCACTAGACTCTGTTGGGATTCTGTCCACCTAAGTGCCTAGCAAACCTTTGCCCTAGCAATCTCCAATGGAACTTGGCTCCTTTTAGCATGGCAAGTATCCTTGATCCCAGTGTTGCCAGGGTCCACTTTTCTTGTGATAAAGAATTTACATTTGTGTTACTTTTTCTTCCTTTAACATTACCCAGTTTGGCTTTGAGCCTCTTTCATTCTCTCCCTCCTACCTAAAAGAAAATGAAATAAAACCATTCCATTCCAAACATTGAATTGCAGCCTTACGGAAAGTCGGCAGCATACACAGGTGCCCTCTGGTGCCCGATCCAGGCGCAGCTTGAAAGGTCTAAAGATGCAAATGGTTCCTCTGTACCCCTCATGGGTGACAGTTGTTTTGCAGATTGAAACACAGGGTAAGTCAAATCAGGTAGAGTAGTCGGTAGTTAAATGGGGTCAGTCTTGTCTGTCCACTTATGGCTCAGATATGTCAGAGATTGTGATAGCACCAAGGGTAGGGCAGGGTCCAGATCTTCTGTTCACAGGGTCACTATAGGTCATACCCAAGGGCACATAACAATAAAACAGCACCTAAAAGGAGAGACCCAGTGGCATAGTGTGTAAATATATCAGGCTGCTAACCAAAAGATCTGGTTTGAAAACGCAGGAGAAAGGTGGGCAATTTCCTCCCAGATTTACAGCTTTGGAAACTGATTGGGGCTTGGGGGGTGCGGGCTTTGTCACTGTGAGTCAGAACCAGCGTGACTACACTGGGTATGGGTATAGTATATTGAATCATTTAAGCAGTATATACTTATCAAGTGCCTACTTTGTGCCAGGCATGGGCAGTGACAGGGCAGGGCCAGAAAGACATCAAGAGTCCTGGATTTACAGAAAAATCTTTTGCTGGAAGGCTGGATTCAGTAGACTGCCTGGGCAGGCTTGGGAAGGACCCAGGTGAGCGCAGCATCCACAAGGCTGGCTGGCATGTAGGAGGCCGGCAGCCAGAGCATCTTGGCATCCCAGCCCGGGCTGTAGCGGGTTCGAGGGTAGCGGGCAGTCAAGGCATGCTCCACGCACCTGCTCACCTTGGTCAGGTCCGGGTCGCAGAGCAGGTTCATGATAAACTCCTGCACTTTCAGGTCTGCAGCCCAGTGGGGTAGTTGACATAAGTATTCCTCCCCTACTCCAGCCCATCTCAGACCCTCTCTCTTGGGTGCTGCCTGGCAGAGGTGAGAAGGCTTCTCAGTCCCTCTCCTAGCTGAGGAATAGGCAGGCTCCACTCGGGGTGCATGCTTACTGTGGCATCTCAGTCACTTAACCATCCCTGCGTGTCCTGCCCAACTATTCCTAGCAGGCTCTGTGGCTAACCTTCCTGGACTCTCATTTCTCTTTATATGCCCCTATGTGGGCCCAGCTACTCACACTTGGTGAGGAAGGCCTCTCCATACAGGGCCTGTGTGGCAGAAGGTATCCGTGCCCAGCAGGCCTGTAGGGTGTCTTCTAAACTCTCCAGATTGGTCACAGGAGTTCGGAAGAAGCCAGGCTCCACAATGGAGACCTTTACACCAAAAGGAGCCACGTCCCGCCTGGAGGGGATGCAGAGGGAGGTTCTGGGTTCTTGACCCAGGGAGGGAGTTGTCTCTCTGCTCTGTTAAGACTTAGGGGCAACTGAGGCAGAAGAAGTGAGGTTATTTCTTTGAGGTTTGTTCTAGTCTACAATCTAGAACAGGGATAGTAAACTTAGATAGGGACTGTGGGCTAAGAGAAAATAAAAAAATCTAGGCTATTACATAGGTACTTACCTAGTCATTTACAGTGTAACCAAGGAAGGGGGTGGGCTCAGTTTGGGGGACTCGTGCTTCTTAAAATTCAGAGCCTACTCCTGTGTCATCCTTTGTGGCACCGTTAATACTTTCACAGGGGTCTCTTTCATGCCACCTGGAACTCTTGATTTTTTTTTTTTTTTAAAGAGGGCAGGACTAAACTAAGTGCCACAGGCACACGGACCTGGGTTCCAGTGCTTCCACTCACTAGTTCTAAGGCTTTAGGCAAGTTCTGTTACTCAAAGGACATTAATAACGGAAGCAGTTGATGGTTCAAATCTACCAGACATTCTGCAGGAGGAAGGTGTGCAGTCAGCTACTGTTAAGATAACAGCCTTGGAAATCCTATAGGGAAGTTCTTGTCTTACAGGGTTTCTGTGTGTGGAAATTGATGGCAATAGGTTTGGTTTGAAGTGTATTAGTACCTAACCTTAAACGACTGTTCGAGAGAATTAAATGAGAGGATAATCTTTAAAGCCATTCACACACTCCAAATAATTATTGTTATAAATGGTGGTATCCCTCTACTAGTAAGAATAGGGTTTTTTTGAGCATTTACTATGCCAGACATTGTTCTAAGGGTCTCAAATACCTTATTTAACTCACACCACCCATGAGGCAAGTCTTCTCATTCCCATTTCACAGTTGAGGAAAAAATGGGGAAAGAAAAGTAATCTACCTAAGGCCACAAAGCTTTTACAAGAGAGCTGAGATCTGACCCCGTGAAATCGAGCTCTACATTGTGCTGTGTCTTCAATCTCAGGCCTCCACTGAACAGACAATTACTGCTGAGTGGGCTGCCCTTGGTCTTACAGTTCAGACCCCCTGCACCCCTCACCTCAGGCTGTCAGAGAAGGCCTCCAGGCCAAACTTGGAGACACAGTAGCCACCACCATTGGCTGCCAGACGACCCAGGACACTGGTGATGTTGACCACCCGGCCACGAGCCTGTTGCAACAGGGGGAGTAGGGCAAGGGTGACACTGATGGGACCCATGGTGTTCACACTCAGAACCCGGTCAAAATCATCCCGTGTCAGCCATGGTGTGGGCCCAATGATACCAGCCACACCAGCATTGTTCACCAGGCCAAAAAGTCCTGTGGGAAAATAACATGGAGTAGACGAGGTACTGCAAAGGCCCTGTTTCTTAAAGAAAGGTTCTGCTTCAACCCCAACTATTACCTCTAGCTTCATACAGCCGTTAGCAGGGACCCTCCTGGAGGGGCTGGTGTAGTTATCAGGAGTGCCCACCATGCTCCTGGTGCTCCCAGTCATACTCACCTGTTTCCCCAACCTGCGTCTCTACCCACTTGGCTGCCCACTGGACACTCTGGGCATCAGTGACATCCAGCAGGATGGTCTGCAGGCGGGAGGAGGCCACCCGCTGTAGGTCCTCAGCTCCCGAGGGGGTTAGGCAGCTTGCCAAGACGCGGAAGCCCCGCTGGTCCAGTCGTAGTGCCAGAAGCCGCCCAAAACCAGAGTCACAGCCCGTGATGAAGATGAAGGCATCACTGGGAGCCAAACTTTGCTGGTCCCGGAGAAACCACAGCACTCCCCAGACCAAAGCACCGAGTAGCAGGAGCAGCCACATGCTGGAGCCCAAGTGACCTGCAGGTGGCAGCCTAGGCTGGGTGGGAAAACATGCCCAGTTTATGTCGGAGGCGCTCAAGCTCTGGCCTCTGGTTTCCTCTCTAGCTGCAAGTCTCGTCTGAGTCCCCTGAGAGATTATTTCAGGGTTGAGGAAGAGGAAAAGCAGGATATAGGCAGACCCCATATTTGCAATTAGCTTAACCAAAACCAGCTAAGCTGCATCTTATATGTAGACCTGATATAACAGCAGGACCATCCTTTCTGCTGTCATCCTACCTGTGAAACCTACCTGTGAAACCAGGGGCATCTGAATCCTCTAAATACAACCTGGGTTTTGTTTTTTTGAACAACACATGAGGCCAAGAGCCTTGCATTTTACTCCTAATGTCCCAAACTTAAGTGCGTGGTGTTGAGCTGCTGTGTCTCCAAACCCACTTGCGTATTATACCCAGTGGGACTGACACTGCCCACCTCAAAGGAGACGTGAGGAGATACCTTAAGTGCCTTGTGACCATTCTATGTAATATCTTGCTAGTCTTCTCACAGCAAACACCCCCAACCTCCGCTCCCAGTGCCCTGCTCACCTCCTCTGGGGCAAGCTGTCGGCTACCACAGTGCTTGTAGCTTCTTCTTTTGCTTCGTTCGAGACTTTGCTTCCAGTGTTCCGAGGTTTTCACACTGATCACAGTCAGGGTCAAAGTCTAGAAGGGGTGGACTCTGGTGCCAGGAGTATTAGAGTGTGTGTGTGTGTGTGTATGTGAGAGAGAGTGTGTGCGTGTTTGTGTGTGGGGGGGATGTGATGTGGGGAGGAGGAGGAGCCAGGGAGCCTAGAGTCAGACTGGCTGAGAGCAGGGCTTGGCTGTCTTTCTCGGCCTGGGTTCTTATGCCATGATCTCCCAGGAGGGAGCCGTCAAGGATGGCAGCTGTCTCCCTCTGTTTGTGGCCTTGGACCTATCATTCCTCCCCCTCAATGCCCTGAAGTGCCCCCATGCCCGAAAATTAATCTCCCACCTGGCCCAGACTCATGACACTGCTTAGTACCAGCCTGGGAGAGGCTGTGAGCACGTGGAAAGGCAGTGTGCCAGGGCTGGGGACCCGGTCTTGTTCCTGCTTCATTTCTCCTTAGTAGCAAACTCAAGTTCTGAATTAGGAAGCCTGGAGCAGGGGCCACTAGGACGTTCTCTTCTGAAGTATGGGAGACTCCCACTCAGGCATCCAGGCTGAACAGGATTGGGATAGTAAGAGGAAGCCGTTCTACCTTCTAACCAAAGGTACTTTTTTCCTCAGAAAAACCACCTTTGAACCTTCTACTCCCATCCCCCACTGAGCTAGTGGCCCCCTTTAAACATACAATATAGAAATGGAGACTTGTGTTTTATTCATGGCCCTGTCAGCCTCCCTCTTGTTCTGGTGGTGAGGAAGGAGGGGTAGGGTAAGAGGAAGGGAAGAGGGGCTAGGAGGGGGCAGACTGCAGTTGCCCTTTGTAGACATATTCCAGTGCGGTGGCAATGGTGCGCATGTCCAGCTCGATGCTGCGAGCCCAGTTCTCCACATCCCCGATTTCCTGGGGAGGAGAGGGAGTGGGAGCCCATGCATCAGGGAGGTCACGTCGGGGTGGTACTTCCTATCCATTCTCGGGAAAGGGCTTTGCTTGGACCCACCAATTGCTTTTACTCTTTCTCTTGCTTTTCTGCTAGTAGAATCTAGCAAATGGTTTCTAGAACCATCCCGCCTCCTTTCTCTTTAACCCCAGGCTTTAGGAGAGCTGACTGGAGGTGGCCAGTGGGAGTCTGGGGTGAGGAATGACAAGGTAGGGCGATGGCTCACCTTAAGTGCCTGATTGAAGTTTTCCACCATTCCGATCCACTGGCCAGTCTGTTTAGCAAACTGGGCTGCCTGGACCTGTAAGGTCTTCACCTCATGGTCCAGCTTCCTCTGGTTCATGTAGGCCTGGGCCACACTAGGGGTTGGAGGAGTGAGGAGTTTAATCCACTCAACTAGTAAGGGATGGTTTCTGGGACTAATATTCAACTGCAGGAGTGGAAGTCTAGCCAGGAGTCAGAGCTGAGCGAAATCTCTGGATTTTGTTTGTGGATGCAAATGAACTCAGCTCCTTCCCACTCCCAGGATTCCCAGGAGAGTTGAGCTGGAAGCTGACTAGAAACATACCATCTCCTACCCCAAAGGAGTTCCTGCAGCTGGGAGGTGGAAGGGAGGGACATCCTTGAGGAAGAAGCTGAGAAGAAGGGAGTGTGGGGAAGCTGGGAAAATTCAGCAGCAGTGACACATCTGGCAGTGATTGGAAATCCAGTGATCTGTTTGGTGGGGAAGGAAAACTGGGCCCCTCCCAGAATCAAGGGCAAGCTGGGCAATCATCCACCTCCTCAGGAACCCTGGGTCAGGGGAGGGTGTCCCAGGGGTGCTTCTTGGTTCAGTCTTTTCCCCAATCTTCTTTTGTCCACACAAATGATTGAACACAGACACTCCCTCTCTTCTTCTCTAGGCAATACTGGTTTTTTTTTTTTAAGCAAGATGGTGGCTGTAGTTACCACTGCGGCCATGGGGATGGTATCTCCACCTTTCTGCCCTAGGAGATTCCACATCCGGTGCCCCCTCCACTGGAATTTGTGGGGGCTGAAGGGGGCAAGGGGCTGGAGGGGCCAAGGGGCTGGAGGGGCCAAGAGAGTGGGCAGGACACCTGACAGGGGCTGAGACAGACTGAGCCTTTGTTTGCCTTTCTGGGGAATGAGAGAAACTGTGGGCAGCAACACAAAACCCTTTCTAATCTGGCTTTGGCTTAGCTGCCCTCTGTGTTGAAAGTGGGGTGGCTTTTAGCAAAGGGAGAGGAGAAGTCTAGCCTACATTCATGAGTGGCAGTGTAGTTATGGGGGAGGGAAGAGAGGGACAAGCCTTATCACATCCCTTTATGAGACAGCTGGCCACAGTAAGGGCTGGCCTGGGTGCTGATGCACTCATGTCTCAACAGACTCCCCAGGAAGCTCCCAAAGTCCCAGTTCCCCCTATTAATCACACTGAGTGGAGGGAGAGGCCTGGTGGTAAGGGAGACCAGAGGTCCCAACCACAACCTTCTCTAATCTCCCTTTTCCTCAGTGAGTAATGAAGATGACCCTAGCCCCAGTGCGGCTCACTTGGGTGACTCAGTATCTAGAATCACAACCCAGCTGTTCTTTGTGCCCTGGGGTAGAAAGCATGATAGTGCCTCCTTTCTTCTAATGGCATATCGAATCACCATCTCTGAACTCTTTAGAGTCACTCAGGGTTAAAGATAATGCTCTTTGCTCCTTCCCAAGTTTTTGGCTATGAGTTATATTCTCATTAGGTCTTGGGTAGGGAGTCATCTCTGGAGACCCAAAAAGAAGGAAAGAGACAGCCTGGCACTGCCTTAGCTCCTGGCAGAAGTTCTGCTCTTACTCCCACCAGCTGTGCCATCTCTTTCCTGCCAGCTGCTGTTCAGGCCTATTAGAAGGTGGGAAGTAAAGAAAGAGAGGGTGGTAAGCTGGGTTGACAGGGGGTGCTTTCCCCTCCTGCTGACGCGACAGCTGGACTTGGAGGGGATGGGAAGTGGCAGATGGCATCAAGCTGTAGGCACCAGGGAAGGTGATGTGAGGAGGGGGAAATCTGGCTGCTTCTCCAACCACGGCAGCTGCTCCTCCCTTGCCCTATACTCGTGGTCAGAGCTGACTCAACTCTCTCTCCATAATATTAAGTTGAAAGGCAGGGGTATGCATAGATCATCCCATCCTCCCATGAGCAATCTGAGAGCCAGCCCATGGTAGTATCTAAACTTGGGGGTTGGTTTTAAGGGGAAAAGGTTCATACCCCACATTGAGGTGATCCACTAAAGCTTCTGTCAGGCAGGTTGCAGCAGTGATAGCCTCTCTCCTCCTTTTCTCTGGAGGAGGGGGAGGAAGGGAAGAAAAAGGCATTGAGGTGAAAATTTGTCTTTTTGAGGAGAGATGCTAAAGTTACTTCATTCTTTACTACTCTTCGAGAACATCTCAAAAAATCTTCAAATGTCAGAGCTGAAAAGGAAAAGAGCTTTGCAAAACATAAAGCAGGCTCATAGAAACCTATACACCAAGATTCAATATTCTTTACAATGGCCAGAGGGTGTAAATGGAAATGTCTGTCAACAAATGAACAGATAAACAAAATGTGTTTACACTTGCAGTGAAATACTCAGAAATGAAGTCCCGACACATGTCATACTATGGAATCTTGAAAACATCATGCTGGACAAAAATAAGTCACAAAAGGACAATTACTGTATGACCTCACTTATATGAAATAAGCAGATATATAGAAATCAATGATTATGACTGATTACCAGGAAGGGCAGAAACCCTATGAACCTGGAGAGAGGATGAAAGGCACCCAAGTGTCGAGGACTCTCCTTCACAGGGTCGCTGAGTCACCTGCGACTCGATGGCACTTAACAACGAAGACGACCAGGAAGAGGAAGGAGAAGAAAAGAGGAGGGCTTGGCGTGTCCTGTTGAGTTGGAATTGACTCATAGCTGACCTCTATCTCATGGCGGTAGACTGCCCATCTTTCTCCTGTGGAGCAGCTGGTGGATTCGAACCACTCAGTTTAGGGCAACGCAACTTCTTACCACTTGGCCACCAGAGCTTTATGTTCATTGATGGTGTAATTATTTGCAAAGGATAGTTAGAATGGCTGCACAACTTGAAGGATAAATATAGTCAATATTGTGTGTGGAAAACTAGCGAGTTGGTGTATGTTTTGTTATGCACGCTTACACCACAATAAAAGAAAATAAAACCCTACATAAAATATAAAGCAAGCCCTTTCATTTGCGAAATCAGCAAACAGGTACTCTAAGAAGAGGAAAGAGACTAGAACACCAAAGAGTTAGGAATCCCGAGTCTTAAACACCTTCCACTAACTTGACGAAAGATCATTCAGTCCCGGATTCCCCACCCTGATTCAGAAAACAAGCGCACCATGCCGGGCAATAAGGCTTCTGCTTCCAGATCCGCCCCTGACACTCTCCTTCACTCACGAGAGTCCCTCCCACTTCCAGGATAAAAAGGTCTTTGGACCAATAAGCACAGGGTTCCAACAGTAAAGGGAGGGGCTGGGATGCAGCCGAGTTAGAGGTACCAGGCATTGTTTAAAGAGACTGGAGTGTAGCCACAAGGTCCAGACACTGATAGAAGAGTCAAACACACATAGAGTCACAAAAAAGGCCGCTTCCTAATCCTCCCTCAACGCGCTGGCGCCCGCTAATCCACGTCCTCCTCTGGGCCTGGGCCGTTACTGGAGGCCCAGGCGCAAGCCACGGCCTGAGAGAAAAATGGCAGACGTGGTAGTCAGCTTACCTTGCAGCTCTTTGCGTTCATTCTGCTTGGCCTGGTGCTCTTTCAGCAGGCGGGACAGCATGATTGTGCTGGGTTGGACACGCTGGACCCCCTCCAGCTGCGAAAACAGGAACCCACACCTCGGCGTCTGCGGGTCTCAAATCACGTGATCGGAATATCACGTGAGGTCTGGAACCTCCTTCTTTTTGAGGCAAGGGTAGGTAGGTGGTGAAGATGCAGACTGGAGAAGGCAAAGGATGTTAAAAGATTAAGGGGCAGGTGAACTCTTTTCTGTTTGGTGAGCGCTAGAAGGAATTTTCTTTAGTAACTATTGGAGGGACAGTCTTTAATGTCTCCTTTGGGTCCAGGAGGATTGTTATCAGGCTGTCCATTGTTGTTTGTGTGTTGGGGAGCAGAGGTTCCCAGAACTCACTGAATTTGTTTTCTGTTCTCTCCTTACCCCTTCTGGTCCCTTGAGCTCTGGCTGATGATCATTGTAGGGAAGCGTTTTAAGCACTTCAACAGGCTTCTTAAAGAGCTTTGCTACGTACATGAGGTGAAGGTACAATTCTGGCTCTCCTTTTGGGGTCAGAGAATGTGAACTGTTTCAGTCTTAGGAAGCATAAGTGATAATGCCAAATTGAAATGCAAATTATATAATACTTCTCTGAAATAATGAGAAACATTTCCGGGATTAACTACCAGCAAGGAAAACGATAAATGTCATCACTATATTCTTGTTACTGCTACTCTTTTGGTAATGTTGACTTTGGAAAAATTATTTACCCTCACTAGCTTTTTGTTTTTTTCTTAAGAAAAATAGGGAGATTAGATTAAATCAGTGGCTTTCAGTTTTGCTTAAACATTACTATCTGCTGGAGGGAAGGTTTTTAAATTGCTTTGGTTCCACACCAATTAAATAGAACCTCTGAGGGAGATGGGGGAAAACCAGGCATCAGTAATTTAAAAAAGTGTCCAGATGGTTTTAATGTGTATTCAGAATTGAGAATTACTACATTATAAAGAAATCTGGCGACATTACTTAAAGTTGACTTTATCATAGCCACTTGTAGGGCACGGACAGATGAGTGTTGAAAGGACAGAGTTAGAATACAACATTATTCTTGAATTTTCTGAGTGGGAGTTGAGTATTTCTGATTTATTTATTCAGCTATTTGCAGGGTAATGTCCTAAATTCTGAGAGATGTTCACCCTCTAAATGTGAGATAAAGCACATGAAATGGTTAAGCAGAACACTGAATGCCAAAATAAAAAATGAAAAAGAAAATTGTTCAATATGTGTCTATGGTTATTTATATGGAATAACGTCTTTTTCCAACATAAACTTAGTGCTTGCTACCCACCAAGCGCATAAGCACAATATGCAGATAAAGGATCTGAGGCACAGACCATGAGTGGTAGACCTGCATAAACCATGGAAAGAGACCCTTAGCAGGGGGAGATTGTTAGTGGGTAAGTTCTATGACTCATCCCTATACTGTTGTTTGTTGAGCATCAGCTTCTGGGAATCCTGAAAGGCAGAAGTGGAGGTAGTGTTTGCTAAGAGGCTTCTTTCTAGAGAGTGACTGATCAATATAAGTAGGAGGAGTGAGAGCATCACAGGGCAGCCTGACTCAGGCCTCCCCCCTCTTTGGCTCCAGCTTCTGACTGCAGTGAACAAGCAAAATAGGGGCAGATTGGAAAGTGCCCAGTGCCTCACTTTCAGAGTTGGGAGGCCTGGGAGAGAAGTTCTGGTGCTGATGTAGGTTTCAAAGAATAGTGACTTGGGAGAAGTGAAATAGAGCTAAGTAGGGGGTGGGGTGGGGGTAGTTGGAGTTGAAGGTTTCAAGGGTGAGTCTATGAATGTTAAGATTAAGCTGAATTTAGAATGAAAAGACTAGGTCAACTGGCTCAGGGAGAGTGCCAGGCCCATTTTGTATTACCCTCATTCTCCTGGGCACAACTGCCTGACATTTTTACAGTCAGCATAGAGACTGCCAGGGTTCTGAAGGCATTAGGCCTTCCCACCTCTCCCACACAATGGCTGTTTCTTTGCCCTAAAAGCTGGGCAGAAGACACAGGTTACCAGTGTAGGGACCTCTGCAGAAATCTCTAGGGTTGACTTTGTTTCTTCTTCTGAACTCTAACCTCTGTTTCTGGTGTAGTTGAAGTGCAGTACCATTTGCCTTTCTTAGAGGTAGAAACAAGCAGCATGAAAACTGAGGAATGACTCCTGAGATTTGAACTCTGTTGAGAATCTGCCCACTTTGTTTTATAACTTCTCATACAGATTATTTTCCCTTATAAGAAATGAATTTTAACTCTCTACTCCTTTCCTTCACTCATTTTCTTGTTCTTTTGCGGTCCCTTTTAGAGTTACTTTTAATTAGTGAACTCCAAACGGACTGATTGGTCTGGAAGCTGCTGAATTGTTAAGGGGTGAAAATTGACGAAAGAGATGAAATGAAGAAAGCGTCATACATGGGGAAGTCTGGCTGGGCTTCAAGAGAGGGGACTGGGAGTGGTATGGCCAAGTTTCACATCTTGGCCAGAAGCCAGCATTCAGAGAAAAGAGACTCTTGAGACCATCTAAATGGCTCCCTGTGGAAACTGACCTCTCTATCCTTTCCTCCAAAATCCACAGATTTCATTTGGATCTTCAAAGACTAGAGTGGTCAAGCCATTTCCCCACTAGCTCCTCCCAATCACATTTATGTTCTCTCTCCCCCAGGCACTCTCACAGTTCAAGCTTCGGCTACGGCTGGAGTTCAGAGGCAAGCAGAATAATTCCAGTGCTGGAGAGCTGGGTGGGGTGAGAATGTCCTCCTAATGTGTGTACTGGGTGGGGGGGACAGCTGACTTTGAGATACATGCTGCAAAGCTGCCAGATGAGGTGGAGGGAGAGGTCAACCCTGGAGTGTGTTTGGAAAGGATTTTCTGGTAGACTAGAAATAGTAGCTGGAAAAAGCATGAATTGGGATAGCAGAAAAATTCCAGATGGAGGAAAGTTTATGAAGTGGAAGGGGACTGGAGAAAGCTTTAGTTTCCAATCAGAAAAATGGCAAATCCTTTGCTGTATCTCGGCATGTGTCAATTTAAAAATGAGAAGTATTATAGACCTAGGAAATTGGGAAAAATAATACAGTTCTTGTGTACACTTCACTTAGCTTTCCCTATTAATAATGTCTTATGTAACTGAAGCACAATATCTATCCCAGAAAGTTGGCACCCTGATAGAGAGCTATTAGGTAGTCTGTAGGCTTTATTTAGTTTTTACTTGTCATTTATGTAGCTTTATGAAATTATGTTCCATGTATTTGTTGCTTTTGTTAGGTGCTGTCAAGTCAGAACCAACTCATAGCTGATCCTTCAGCAGGTTTTCAGAGATTGTTAATTGCACAAGAGGAGATTGCTCATTTTTCTTCCTTGGAGCAGCTGATGGATTCAAACTTCATGCCTCTAGGTTGGCAGTGAAATGCCTTACTACTAGGCTATCTGAGTTCCCTCATTCATGTATAGATATGTAGCATTACAATGATGATCAAGATACATAGTTCTTCAGTTATCACAAAGGAATCACCTCATGTTCCCCATTTTTACACACACACACACACACACACACACACACACACACACACACACATTTTTTCTTGTATTTTGTTGTTGATTGCCGTCGAGTTGAGGTCGACTCATAGCGACTCTATGAACAAAAGATCTAATGCCTTTCCATAGCTATCATTGTTTCTCCAAGTTCATAGAGTTTCCAGAGGCATGTGGTTTTGGAAGTGGATGCCACTCCTGCTTCCAAACCTGTTTTACATCTGGGAGCTCTACCAAACACTGTCCACAATGGGAAACCATTATGGTATTTGATATCCCCATGGCACAAGGTTCAGCATCACAGCAAACCCAGATAACTTTATACACATTGAAAAAAGAGTGATGTGCAAAGTGGGAGAATGTTCCTCCACATATAACAGCAGTGGTTAAGTGTTGTTGAGTCAAATATGAGTCAGAGTAAGCTTTGCACGAAAGATCTGAACTCTGTTCTATAATTAACATAATTTCTGTACATTTGTAAGAGAGTTTGTAGAGTTTCCAGAAAAATCTAGTTTAGGAAGCGGATACCACTCCTGTTTCCCAACATGAATCAATCTGGAAGTTCATCAAACATTGTACATAATGGGTAACTATTATGGTATTTGACATGACTTTGGAACAGTGTTAAGCATCATGCAACTCCAAGTTGTTCCGTACAGCACATAGAAAAATGATTGCTATGTCAGGCCAGCCCACAGACCCATCACCTCATTATTGATTTTAAAACCACACTCTAGAGCAGGCCTTCACCCTTAGTCTAAGGCTCAAGGGCCACCCACTTCTGAGGAGGAAAAAGAAGAATAACTCAACAAGCACCACCCCAGAAACTTCCCTTACGTGACTGCTGTGACTGCCATCAAGATGAGACCACCATCGAGATGCTAGCTAGCCAGCCATATATATTGAACACTTCATGTATTTGTGTGTCATCCTTGTGTAAGGGCCATGCTAATCTTCTCTATCATTCCACTTTTAGTATATGTAATGTCGATATGAGCACTATCCATTTATATTTGTACTTTGTTATTCCTGTCTCTTCCTGTTCACTACCTGTTCTCCATCTCAATAGTTTTGTCGTTTTTATAATGTTTTGTAAGTAGAACCATAAACTATCAGGGAACTCTTATGACCTAGTAAATAAGGAATTATACTGCCAACCCAAAAGCAGGTGCTCCATTGGAGAAAGATGAACAGTCTCCTCCTGTGTGATTTACAGCCTTTGAAAACTTGTTTGCAGGGACAGCTAAGAGTCAGTTCTGACTTGATTGAAACAAAACATAAAATATCAACATTTAAAAAAAATTTAACAATGACTGATTGGAAACACTAAGTCTCTGTAAACTTTCATTAAAATTAATTAAATAAAGAAAAGAAATGCAGTACTTTAGCACGTAATAAATACAAATAAGAAAAAAAAATTCTGCAAATTCGTTTCCTACTCAGCAGTTCATGTACAAGTTATTCTGTGGCATTGGTTGCTGTCTCTGCAGTGTGTTAGTTAGTTCTCTCTCCATTTCCACTTTGTTTTCCCTATTTTTCTCCCCTCCTATGCACACTTTTCATTGCTTTCCCA